TGTATAGATTAGGCTTATAAATGTTCATTACACAAGCAAAAATAAATGAATAAAAAATAAACTCTAACAATTTACTTAAATTATAAACTTTCTTAACAATGTCATACACAAATTTTGAAACGAAAATATTGAAATTCTGATTTTTTTGTTTTGTTTTTTTTTGTTGTTGTTTAGACATGGCAGGAGCTTGATCGACGTATTACTGACACGGCTAACGAGGCCAAGGACAACGTGAAATTTCTCTACACCTTGGAGAAATTCTGTGACCCTCTCTACAACAGCGATCCTGTAAGTAATCCTGAATCTAGAATGTTATAAAAATCAGTTTATAAAACAATCTGTGGACAAAAGTAAAGATATCTAAGTATATGCATGTTTATTAAAAAAAGGTTGTATTACAATGCCAGACAGACTTGTGACAGGTAATAAAGAAATTTACGGAACTGTAAATATTATAAATGAATTAAACAAGTATTTTGTCAATATCTCGAATGTCATACATAAAACAAAGTTTTCAAATACAAATTTTTCAAAATTAAAAGAAACTTTAAACCAAAAGCTAATATATCATGAATTTAATATTGAATTAATTACACCGTTTGAAGTAAAACTTATTATTGAAAAACTGAATATTAAAAAATCTACAGGATTAGATGGAATTGGACCAAACATCATCAAATATTGTGGAGATTATATTACACCAATAATTGCATCAATTATCAATAATAGTATTAAATCTAATATTTTCCCAGATGATTTAAAAAGAGCTCGAGTTATACCTATTTTTCAAATCGGGGGATAAGAATGAAGCAAATAACTATCAACCGATATCAATTTTGTCAACTATATCCAAAATATTTGAGCGCCATATTGCCAAACAAATACGCTCATTCTTTGAAAAAACGAACATAATTCATAATAAACAATCAGGATTTCGTAAAAATCATTCATGTAATACTGCACTCATAAGTTTAATAGATACTTGGTTAAAAGATGTTGACAGTGGAAAAATTATCGGGACTGTATTCTTAGACTTAAAGAAAGCCTTTGATTTGGTTGACCATGAAATACTTTTGCATAAACTTAAACTTTATCATTTTTCTGAAAATGCCGTTAAGTTCTTTAAGTCATATCTTTCTAACAGAATACAACTGGTTAAAATAGGTAATCTTCAATCTCAGTCAATGAAAATAATTTCCGGTGTTCCACAAGGCTCAATATTAGGACCTTTATTATTTCTAATATACATAAATGACATAGCTTTCATAGGTAATGATATAAAAATTGATTTATACGCAGATGATTCTACTCTTTATGAGTCCGGAGAAAATATATCAAAAGTAGAAATAAAACTTCAAGATCATTTAAATAGCATTGACAAATGGTGCAAAATAAATAATATGGCCTTAAATCCAGATAAATCAAAATGTATGGTAATAGGAACAAGACAAAAAGTAAATATTATGAGAAAATTAATTCTTAAGATAAATGAAATAGCTCTTGAAAATGTAACTGATCAAAAAGTCTTGGGTATTTGCATAGATAACAACTTAAAATGGCACTTGCAAATTGACAATGTTTGTAAAAAACTTAACGGAAAAATTGCCTTATTGAAAAAAATATCGTATTTTTTGCACTTTGATATGAAATTATTGTTTTACAATGCATATATATTGCCCATTATGGACTATTGTTGTATTATATGGGGTAAAGGAAACACAAACTACATAAATAATGTTTGTAAGTTACAAAAACGAATTGCTAAAATCATTTTACAGCAACCTCAAAGACCTCCGTCAATAAATCTATTCGAAACTCTTACTTGGTTACCGTTCCTTGACAGATGTAAATACCACACGGCGGTGCTTGTTTTTTAAAACTTTAAATAACATGGCACCGAGACTTATATGACAGAACTGATGACTTTATCCGACAACAAAATATATAACTTAAGATCTAGGTCACGAAAAGATATTGTATTATGGACAAGACCTAAAACAAATTATATTAAAGACACATTTTCTTATTATGGCATGAACATTTGGAACAATATACCTTTAAATATTCGTAATGCTAATAACCTTAAATGTTTTAAAGAAAAATACAAAGCATATCTTGATGTTCATATGAGTGAATGAATGAGTGAATGAACGAATAAATATATGAACGAACGAATGATGCAATATATGTATATGTTTAAACAAATTGTTGAGTGTCTGTCGAAAATATATGAGTTGTAATATTTTAAAAATTACATATTATACATTCATTTTTCTACCTATGCATATCCTGTTGTTGTTGTTGTTGTTGTTTTCTATTTCAGAAGGCCACATTGGAAATAAGATATATATGATTGTTATTGTATGTTCTTAATGTGTAACCTTCTTTAAATAAAGATATTATTATTATATTATTATATTAATACGAAGTACAAGGGAGGGAACCAAAATTAAATATAATTTCTTACTGGCTTTATATCTGATAATGAATTGAAACTAGTTGCTCACTAGCTATATGTAAACTTAAATTTATGCCCATTTTGCCAAATTGTCCTCATAAAATGTTTGGAAAATTTCCTCACAGCTTCAGAAAAATGCAGCTTAGTTTAGACAAATAAGAAAACGAAGTGTATAACTATATGACAATGTTTGTTGTTATCTACAGGTTGGAATGTTGGAAGGTATTCCAGGACTGATCAATGCCATCAGAATGATCCACAGTATCTCCAGGTACTACAATACCTCTGAGAGAATGACCTCACTCTTTGTCAAGGTTAGTTATTAGGGCTGGGAACGAATAAGAAATTTGATGTTCGAATATTCGTTTTCCATATTCGAATATATTCGAATATTCGTTTTCACAACATTTGTTCAACATTTCTCTTTTACGTATACGTATCCGAAATTGATTGCGTCGAATACTATACTACTTTAATATGGATAGAAATATCGACAAGTAAAAATACCTTTATTACTTTGTCAATGTTTTTGTTGATTGTAAATCGATATATGTATTTATATTCTTACTTTTGAAATAAATTCATAATGTGACTGTCTTTCATTCAATTTATCCGACTGCTGATCGTTTCACTAAGGATAAACGGGAGGTAACTCACGTGACTTGAATGACAGTAATATGAATCAGCATAGACTGAATATTTGTTTATGTTCGCCTCCTTTTGCAGTCTTTCAACTTTTATTTGTTCCTGGATCATACCAGTACTTGATTACAGTAATTAACGTGCATTGTTGCACAAAACTATCTTTTCCGGACATTACGGACATGCAGTATACATGTACATGTATAGTTAGAAATAATTAAATAAAATAACAACAAGGTCTTGATCATAACTTTAATAACATGTAATTAAACAGTATAATCAATGATAGCATTCTTTTATTGCAAAACATATCATGGTATCATAGTAATATCAACACAAATATAGTATCCAAACAAACATAATTTTTCAGGCTTCTTAATTAACATATCATGGTATAATGGTAATATCAAGTCAAACAAAGCATCCAATCAACGTATTTTTCACGCTTTATAACTATAGTACTTAACTGTCATTTGATATAATAAAAACATGATAGTATCATATTCAATAGCTAGTGAGTCAATTTCACTCTTCTTCACATCAATTTTCAGTTGTTATTTAATTAACGAGAGACATTGACCTTGTCTTAAACTCCACCTTATTCTTATTGAGAAATATAACTGTGTCCACAAAGTCACTAGACAAACTGTTCCTAAGTTTGTTCAAGAGTGTGCCGGCACAGCTGAACACACGTTCGGAAGGTACGGATGTCGCCGGCACACTCAGAACACTCTTTGCTACATGTGAAATTTTTGGGAAACGTCCTTCGTTTTCTTTCCACCACACAAGTGGATCACAATCCGGAACACTTTTCTCAACTAAATACATTTGTAATTCATCCTCGATTTCTGAACGATCAGGTGATCCATAATCTATGAAGTCCAGTTTTCTAGCACGTTTTGGAGTTTGTTCACAGTTCTCGGGTGGATTGACGGGTAGAAGTAACGGAAGATCGTCCAAACGAGACTCGAGGATAGCATGAGTTTTCTTCCGTTGCGCAGAGGTGAAGAACGTTAGTTTCTTATGTCGGGGGTCAAGCAATGCCCCAAGTGCTGGGAGGGAAGTCGGAGCTACATCACCTGTAGGTCCGTAACGAGACATGAGATCGTCACGAATCAACCGCTTTACTTCGGCGGCGGTCGCACTATCATCTGTACACTCTACCAATCTCTTACTGACTAATCCACTGACAATGGGATAAATTTCAGACACTGACACATTTTTCTCTGTACACATATACTCAGTAGTAGATTTGAAGGGCGCAAGAATAGAACACAACTCTGATAATAAATTCCAATCAGCGTTTTCTAAGTAAAGTTCACAGTCGGCCTTCTTTGTTAACTTTGGATCTAACATAATATCGGACACAACGCGGCGTTGCTCCAGGAGACGTGACATCATGTCATATGTAGAATTCCAGCGTGTGGCGACGTCCTGGACAAGAGAGCGTTTAGGCACATTATCCATTGATTTCTGACGATCAGTGAATTCAGCAGTTAATGTAGTACTATGCTTGAAATGCCCAACAAGCTTACGGCACTTTGAAACCAAATCACACACTTCCGGAACTAAGAATGCAGGTTTCATGCTCAACTGGAGTGTGTGAGCAAAACATCCTAAGTCACCCCAGTCCTTACACATATTCCCAGCACTTTGAATGTTCCGAGCATTATCATGAACACAAGCTTCCACCTTATCACTTAACTTAAACTCACTTACACAGTCCTTGAGACGTTGTGCGAGGTTTGCACCTGTATGACGCTCTGGCATAGCACGTGTTATCAGCACATGTGATTTCAGCTCCCAATCGTCATTAATGTGTTGTTCAGTGACAGTGATGAAACTTTCAGTTCTATTTGATGTCCACGTATCTGTCGTAATCGATGCTGACGTGACGTTGGAAAGTTCTGACGTAAGCGCCTCCTTCTCAGCATCGTATCTACGTTGAACACGAGTCTTAATAGTTTTTCTTGTCGGCACAACGTAACCCGGAGCAACGATGTCCATAAGGTTCTGAAAACCCTTACCCTCGACCATGCTAAGTGGAACCATATCGGAAACGATCATATCGGCGATAGCTTGCGTGATTTTTTCGTTTTCGACCTTAGACTTCTTTGGCGTACATAAGAACGAAGCCACAGAACCCTGCTTGGACGGAGTGTCATCTGAAATTAAAAGATAGAACATTTTCAAATGATAGTTTAAATTTACAGATTTTAATTTCTGAAAAAAAAGTTTAATCCACGTAATCCCGATTTCTATATTGATTTGGTAGATTTTTATATAATAGTATTTTCTACCAACACATAATAATATTGAAACTTAAATTGTATTAAATATGTTTTATATTTATTTTTAATTTTAGATAAGATATGAATCATTCTTAAGATATATTTAGCTTTAACGCAGTAAATATCACATGGAGTCCAATTAATACGGAATAAATACTTCAGACGGAATATAGACATTCCCTATTCTTTCATAACGCCGTGAACATGTTATGATTATCTTTTTAAAACATTTATGTTCTTACCTTTGTTAGATGTTGGATGTTGTGAATTTAGATGATTGAGTAGGTTAGAAGTAGTCCCTTTATACTCAAACACTTTCTTGCATAGATCGCAAGTTGCTTTAGACTTATCAATAGAACGTGAAAAGTAATTCCAAACACGAGACGGCATTGTGATATATTGACCATAGAATTTTTCAACAGAGTGAGAAAGATATGTCCAAAATCATCCCTTTAAAAAATCTTAAAACAATGTTTGCAAAAAGTCATTGGTTCCGAGTAGAGCTTTAAATTTTCATTGGGTGAAATAGAGTTAATTTTAGAGTGATGAATATAGATTGGTTAATTGTTCTAGCATGATTAATACGTGCCGATTTATTCTTCTTCGCAAAAATTAAGACAATTATCGAATGATCGGAAAGATTAAAGCACAGAAAACAATTAAGTAGAATAATTATTGAAGTCGGTAAAATTTACATTATCAACTATTAAACAGGTAAATTACAAACTGTGAAACGGGTGCCCTTTTGATCAACTGTACACAAAACTTTTCACAGTTAATTGGCGATAATCGTTGACACGTGTTAAACAAACATAGAACACCTGCTGGTTAAGTGTATGTCAAGGGTCTACTTTACGATATTAATAGAAATTGGAAAGGAAAAAAAAAAAAAGCATTTCAAATCATTTTTTTTTCGAATATTCGTATTCGTTTTTCAATGTTCGAATATTCGGTAGTATTTCGAATATTCGAATATTCGAATATAATTCCCAGCCCTATTAGTTATTATTCTATTGTTTTTAACCAGTAAAAAAAACAAAACAAAAAACAGTCATTTCTCTTGGTATAAGTAAGGAAAGATATCAGAATTTTAGTGCTTCTGTACATTATCTGATGAAGTTTAGCAACAGGAAATATGATGCAACATATATTTCTAAAAAAATGTTTGAAAGGCTTGTGTCTGTGTGCTTGAAATAAAGTTTTGTAACTCAGAATATAACAATCTGGAAAATTAGTTAAAAGTAAACAAGAAAATTGTAAACACTGATTAAAGGGAGAGAACAAGTTTTATTATTTTTCTACCATTGTATATTTGTAAAGAAATTTTAATGTCCTTTGTTTTGTACAGATCACAAATCAGATGATCACCGCCAGCAAGGCTTACATCACAAACGGAGGGTGCGAGACAGTCTGGTCTCAACCTCCGGGCGAGGTCATCAAGAAGCTCAATGACTGTATTCGCCTGAACGAGGAGTATCAACGATGCTTCCACAAGACCAAAGAAAAGCTCGAGAAAATGCCCAATGAGAGACCATTTGAGTTTTCCGAGATGTACATTTTCGGAAAGTTTGACACTTTCACAAAGAGGCTGAAGAATATCATTGCCATCTTTGACATGTTCTCTGTTTATGCGACACTGTCCGAGTCCAAAATTGAAGGTACATTCAGTGTGGTTTGCTTGTTTTGTAATACCTCTTATGCGACAAGCTTGCCGACTTTTGTATTCTTTTCTTTAAAAGTTACCCTTTATAAAAGTATTGGATCCTGAAATTAATTCTGTTCACATTTTTGTTAAAAAAAAACAACAAATCTGGTATAAATCTGATTATAAGTACATTGTGTTACTTTTCAACATAAGTAAAATGGCGTATAATGTGCCATTTAAATCTTTATTTCATTATAACAACAATTCTGGTCTGAAATTAAAGTAAAGCTCTTGACAATATGGATTTTCTTTGTATGGAGTCTAGATGTTAAAGGTTTATTGTCTTGTACTTGCAGGCTTGGAGGTAATGGCCAACAGGTTCAGCGTGATTCAGACACAAATACGTAAAAAGCCGTATGATTTCCTGGACCAGAGGAAACAAGAGTTTGCTGGTGATTACGATGATTTCCAGAGACAGATCAAAGAACTGCATGTAAGTCTTGTCAACATTAATGCTAAATAATATGAAATAAATAAAGCTGGTAATAAGTCATGGAAATAATATATTAGTAATTAGCAGAAATTAATACAGATATGTTAATGATCCATGTGTACATCCGAATGTATACATAGGTTGCTTCGATTTATACACATCTGTTTATATATATTTTATATATATTTCATATGTGTGTGTGTGTGTGCAGTTTTAATTTAAATGAAATAGAGACTAAATTTGGAGATGTGTGCAACAAAATTTACATTCATTTCAATTGTGTTTTATTTAATTGAAGAAAAACATATAATTTTTAATGTCTATTTCTATGTAAGTATGAAAAAAATTCTTGAAATGTTACCTGCTTTTATTTTCAGCCATAATTATAACATTTGATGACATTATATAAAATTTAAATGGTGTTTTATTTTCATTACAGAAACAAATCTGTGAGTTTATGGACAAGAAGTTTGAGAGGATAACGAGCACACAGCGTGCTATCACTCTGTTGATGAAGTTTGAGAAACTGAAGCTCCCTAACCTACCAATACAGGAGAAATATCAGAGAATTCTCTCACAGTATGGTAAAGATATTGAGATGGTGTCCAAAAACTATCAGAAGAACAAAAATGAGCCACCAGTAGCCAGAGATTTACCTCCCATTGCAGGTAATTTAAACATTTTATTAATGTTGTTTTAACTGATCCCTTCGAGTCAAAAACAAGAAATAACTCTTTAATGTAAGCTTATTTATTATTTTGTTACATTTTAATAACAACTGTAAAAAAGAGTATTACTAGTAGTTTGGGGGCGTCCGTGGCCGAGTGGTTTAGAACGTTGACTTCAAACCACTTGCCCCTCACCGCTGTTGGTTCGAATCTTGACAGGGACTTTGGATTCTTTCTATGAGGAAGCTATCCAGCTAGCTTACAGAACATCGGTGGTTCTACTCAGGTGCACATTCGTGCCTGAAAAAATGCACAGAAGGGCACCTGAGGTCTTCCTCCACCAGTAAAGCTGGAACGTATGACCTTTACTGTGGCTTTGTGATGTAAAACCCATTAAAGAAACAAATAAACAAACTATTAGTTTGATCGATAAAGACACATATAAATGTATAAGTCAAATAAAATGTTCTTCTTCTGCTTAAAATTTTTGAACATTTATATTTTATGAAAACAACAATGTTATCTTGAATTACAGGTAAGATATCCTGGTCTCGCCAGCTGTTCCGACGTATCCAGGAACCCATGGAAATATTCCAACAACAACCGTCGCTCCTAGAGAACTCACCAGAGTCTAAGAAGATTATCAAAAGCTTCAACAAACTTGCCAAGGTTCTCCTCGAGTTTGAGGTCCTCTATTATAGAGGCTGGTTGAGGCAGGTCAGTATATCTTATAATAAGTATTTATAATTATGTGTAATTATTATACGATAACAGATAGTCCTGCACAAAAACTGAACACTATTGGTGATAAATAGTTGTTTTTGCTGCTAGCCATTACATAAGTCACAGTTATTCAGTGTTGGTCTGACCAGGCATTGAACTTCTAAATTTTAACTTATCTGTTTGAAAGAGAAATTTGAGCCATCATCATTGCTCTGGCTTTCTCGTCATTATTGTCATCCTACAAAAACTTTATTGTGGCCCATTACTCTAACAGTATTAGAAGGTATCAATATGAGACTTGGAACACATGACTAAAGGCAGTTGTAAGACTAGGGGCACAATTCTGAAAGCTATATTTTTGGCATTATGCCCATTTTTAACTTGGAATTTTTGTCAAAAGTGGTTATTTTAACAGATGAACGTTAACACCACATGCAGTGTTCTTGTTAACATTTTGATATTAAACCATCAGCATAATAAGAAACTGTTCAAAATTAAAGCAAGGTTAGTTGTTTACACAAATTAATGAGGTTGAAGGTTAAGGGTTTATTATATTTTAGGTGGAAGCAGCAAAGTCGGGGTTGTCGGCATCTCTGCTCGTGAAACACCCAGAGACTAATGAACTGTATGTGAACTTTGACCCTCAGATCCTCACAATGATCCGAGAGACCGAGTGCATGGCTAGACTTGGTTTGGAGATTCCACCAGTTGCCAAAACTATGAGGACTAAACAAGGAGAATATAAGGACAATTACAATGCCCTACTGGTAGGATTATAACATGGGCTACATGTATAATATACTGCTAGTTTTATAAAGCTAATGCTAAAATATAAATTTCTTTAACTTGGACTTGTTTACATGTATATCTGTATGTAAATATTTCTATCGAGGTAACAGTTTTAAGTAGAAAAGATTTTTTTTTATAAGTTTTTACAACTTGAAGGTAGTTTTTTCAAGGTTATTTAATGGTTAATTAAATAACTATATTCTGGTAAATTAACATTTGACATTTTGTTTTCTATCAAGTTTCAAGTAAATAATTTGTACAATACCATTAACTAAACAGACACTATGCAATAGGTGTATTGTCTTAAATGTAAAGAGACCTTGAATCCATGCTTCTGTTATTTTATATTTTGAAATTGAAATGTTTGTAGATGATGCTTCAAGAGAACAAGAGAGTGAGGAAAAAGATTCCAACTGCCTTTGAGGAGCTCATGGGACCACATATCAACCGTGTAGATGATACCATTGAACCTGGCCTCACCAAATTATCCTGGACATCACTGAACATTGAAGAGTACATCCAGGATGTTTACAAGCGTCTGGAAGAACTAGAGCTGCTCATGATCAGGGCTAATGAGCTGACTGAATTCCGTATTGATGCAGTCTTACAGGAAATGGCGACAACGACTCTGTGCAAGCTGCCACAGGATGAGCCATGGCCGGTAGAAGATTTCCTGGAGAACACGCAGGAACTTTGCGCAAAAGGTGCAACGATCCTTCAGACCAAGAGTCAGGTTGTTCAAGATGCTGCGACTGAGTTGATCGACATGTTGCTTCACCTAGAGGATAATGAAGAGGAAATTGTTGATGATGAGAAAAAAGATGGTATGTATTATTTTCACTTAGTATTAAATCTAAAGAAAAATTATATGAACCTTGTATAACATTTTAAGATTTTTTTATTTTTTTTTTGACTTGCAGTTATACGAGTATTTGTCTTATTGGCTTGAGTTCAAGTTTATGCTAAGGTTGTTTTTTTTAAAGTTGAAATATTTCAAGTGATTTTATACAAATGATACCAGTAAATGAAGCATATTTCTATCTTGTATTCTATCAGAATTTTTTAATTCTTTAGTTTTTAATGCTTACCTTATGAAACTTCTTTTTAAAGATTAGATGAAGAAAAAATTAATAGTCCTTATCATTTCTTGACAAGATAAATAGAGACAAATTTCTCATCATGTGCATATATTCTATGTAAGCATTAGATTGGTTTAATACTTGTATCTACAAATAGATGATGAGAAGAGAGAAGGTACCCCAACTGGATCTGGTGGCCGTGCCAGTAGCAGACGCTCACGACCTGTCTCTTCAAAGGCCAACTTGGCTGCTAAACGCAAACGTGAACAAAGAGAAAACATCGAGCAAGCCGCAACAGATCTACTGAATCATTTCAACCACCGTAACCTTGAGGCTCTTATCAAGGTCACCAAGAACACCCTCGAGGCTCTACGTAAACGAATCACATCCAGCTCAATGGTTCATTATATTGGTATGTTTATACTGAAATCATAAAATTTTGAAATAATAAAAATCTATATAAAGAAATCCAGTGTTGATTGGCTATTTAGACAGTTAACTAAATTTCTTGCTCCTTTTATTAGTCTATTTACAGGCACCTAGAAATTTCTTGTACCATTGAAAGATAAAAAAAAAATTGTAGCATAAACCATACTGCTACTATTAATTTAGTTACACAAATAGTATAGTCAGAAATGATATAGAGCCGCGTCATGACAAAACCAACATAGTGCGTTTGCGACCAGCATGGATCCAGACCAGCCTGCACATCCGCGCAGTCTGATCAGGATCCATGCTGTTCACTTACCAACCCTATTACAAGTACAGAAACTGATAGCGAACAGCATGGATCCTGATCAGACTGCGCGGATGCGCAGGCTGGCCTGGATCCATGCTGGTCGCAAACGCATTACGTTGGTTTTGTCGTGACGCGGCTCAAATGTCTTGATACAGGTAGGTTTTCAGTTATGAGGAGATCAAAAATTGTGTTCCTGCGAAGTATTAAATTTCAATAAAAAATTATAGCTTTTGTAAAGGATAAAAAAATATAATATATTGAACCAACTTGATTCAATGTGTTAGTTTTTGTAATTTGATAACAAAAATAAAAAATCTGTCCTGATAGGCTTATCACAGAAAAGAATGAAAAGATGAAATAATATATCATGAATAAGTTCAATGCTATTAAAAATTGGTTTTCTTTAATTTGCAGGTGAATCAGGTGGTTTTGGTAGCGGAGATGCAAAGAAAGATAACCGTCCATTCTTCAAGACGTTCGCCACATTGGCTATACCAAACATAACAATGAATCCAGGTCTTGATGAAGTACAACAAGCTGTTAATAAGGTAAATAATATACTATATTTATATAGTTCAAATAAAATTAACATCCGTGCTCTGACAAATTGCCTAACTTGCTAACTTAATAAAAACCTCTAAAACTGTGTATAAAATATTATTGTGGTCTAGTGATAACTACTCAATATGTGGTACCGCCTCCGTGGTGGAGAGGTTAGAGTCAATGACTTCTAATCCAGTTACCTCTCTGGCATGGGTTCGATCCCTGGGAGATGCTTTGGTAGTTTAGCACGGAGGAAGGTAGTCTAGTACTGGTGTAACTCTCCAGGAACAATGGTTAGGAAACTACCCGTCTATATGACTGAAATACTGTTGGGAAAAGGCGTAAAATGAAACAAACAAACAAAACTCAATATGTGTGTTGCATATTGAGCAACTTTTCATTTTGCTTTCATTTTGCATGAAAGATATATGTATTTAAATTTTACAATAGTGCATTTTTGATTTCCTGTTCTGAAAACTGTTGATAATGGTAGGACACTGTAAATATAATAACTGATGTGGTTTGGTAAGAGATGGACGACAAAAAGTGAATGTGATATAAAAAGAGAGTTAAATTCCAAACTATTGTAATGGCATTTCAGGCTGCACAGCTCATTGTCAGTACAAGCAAGGGAATTTCCCAGTGGAACAAAGACCGCAAACGTGAGCGCTCACACTCGGGTGATCGTGAAGGTCACCACGATAGACGTATGAGTGTTGGTAGTGTAGCAGCATCTGAGGGTTCCCATGGTGAGAAGAAAAGACCGGAATTAGAACGCGAGGCAACCAGTCATACTGTAACGACAACGGCTAAGAATTATTTCAAGAATGTATCAGAGAATAAAGAAGTTGCCAAGCTCGTCTCTCTCTTGTCTACATCTATTAACTCCACAAAGAAGGTATGATTCCTACTTTATTTCATACTTTAACCTATTCAATGTTTTCAGGTATAATTATACACCTGTAAAACAAGTATAAAGCCAGGTCAGCCTACATATTATAGGGATTATAGTCATGAACATGTATGATATAAAGGTATAATACACCTAATACATATCAGTAGCGTACTTACTTCTTAGTCATTTATAAGTTAAAAGTTTGAAAGTTGAAGTAATCAGCTGCTTTAAAGGAGGGAATTACATGTATAAATCGTAACTTAATAAAGTACTCTTGAATCTGCATTAGTATAACAAAATCTGGTACAAAAATTGTTTTGCATGTTTCAAAAGTTTAAATTCTATAACCAGGACTGATAAGCATGACATGGCGAAGTTGTATTCTATTTTCTGTGACATTTTTTTAATGTAAACATTGATCACAGAGAAAATGCATGCTTTTTTTAAAATTTAACACCAAATTTGATTTGAAATCAGATTACTTATTAAAATTTATTACGGAGATGGGAACAGATGTATACTTTATGTTCTAAACATGTACTTAAGAAAAATGTCAATTATTGATTCCAGTTACTTTTTCTCTAGAAATATGATACATTAGGTATTTTTTAATTGATGTATAATAATATTTGATAATATAATTACAAATTAATTGTCAATCAGGAGGTGACAAGTGCCCTTGAGAAGTTTGCTGATTATCACTGTATCTGGGAGAAAGATCGGGAAGAAGATCTAGAGGCTTTCTTGAAGGATAATCCAAAACTGACCGAGTTTGAGTCTAAGATAAAATACTACGAGGAACTTGAGGTCTCTATTAACAGCCAGCCTGAATACTACGATGTTGGCCCTATTGCTCTCTTTACAGGTATGGTCATATGTTATATTTACCTTAATTGTGTTATACCTTATTCTCTCAGTTACAATTTTAACCTTACTTACGACTGTAGAGCATTTTTCTATTTCATTCAGCAAAATTGTATTACAAAGTTATTTACTAGATTTTTATTTCAATATATATTTACATTAATTTACAAATATATTTAACTCTTTAACCATCGCATACATTTACAATTCCTATAACAGAGAAGCTGAAGTTTGCTTTGAATGTCGAGACTAAAGCATGGAGAATGCATTATGGGAAGGCATGTAACAACAAGTACCGTACAGAAATGGAGGAGATATTTACGTTCATTGAAGAGCTCAACAAGCGTCTGGGTAGACCTATCAAGGACTTGGATGATATCAGATATGCCATGGCCGGTTTGAAGGAGATCAGAGAGCAAGAGATCAGAATTGATATGAGCATTGGACCTATTGAGGTACGTTTTGAATTGACATGAAAGCAATATATGAGCCGCGTCATGACAAAACCAACATAATGGGTTTGCGCGCAGTCTGATCAGGATCCATGCTGTTCGCTATCAGTTTTTCTATTTGTAATAGGGTTTGTAAGCGAGCAGCATGGATCCTGATCAGACTGCATGGATGCGCAGGCTGGTCTGGATCCATGCTGGTCGCAAACCCATTATGTTGGTTTTGTCGTGACGCGGCTCAATTATATTAAAGTGATAGGAAATCAAATCTGGTGTTTGTATAAAAAAATAAGTTTTAGTTGATAGGGAGAGATAGGCTTGAACTTATGACTCCATGTACAACTTTTTTGTATATTTGATCTGCTATGTCTTCCTGCAAGTTACTTATTTCACTCATAATAATTCAACCATATTTCAGTAGCAAAAGACTAAATCATGGGGGTCAGCTGTAAAGTATGATTAAATATAAAGGTATTGTTATGTTAAAAGTTTTGAAATATGATCTGTAGTGTTTAATGACCAATTCATTGAATTTATTTCACAGTTTTGTAGTTTGCATTTTTTGAAGATGTAAATGAAAATGTTAGAAATAAAATACAGTACTTTTCTGTAAGTTGCTGTATTTGTAATTGCCTCCCTTGGATTGCTGTTTTATATCTTTGCAATACATTTCACATTACAGGAGTCATATTCCATGTTGATCAAACATGATTTACCTGTGGCCAAAGAGGAGACTGAGCGATGTGATACCCTGAGATATTCCTGGGAAAAATTGAACGTACAGGCAGCTGAGGTGCAGTCACATCTGCTTGATGTACAACCAGAGTTCAAAACGGGACTTATTGAAAATGTGAAAACATTCCTTGTGGATTGTGACAACTTCTATGATGATTATAACACTGTAAGATTCAACTGTTTTTATCAGCTTACTTTGAAATAATGGACATGTCTTTCTTTGAAGTCCAGTGTTCATTTATACTTTTGAAGATATTTCATTATGTTCAAAATGATTTAATTTCACAGCCAACTTTATAATACTGTATAAAGATATAGACAAGCCCAGTCTGTATGACTATTTACATGATAACAATTATAAATTAAATGTTTTTTCAAAAATTTCATGCTCTTTGTTCCTGTTTTAACTTTAAGACTTGAGGCGGTGCATATATTGCAAGTTTGTTCATAATAGTACAATGTATATACCATTAGATATGTTGGGGTTTTATTGTTTGCTTTTTTTCCTCACCACAATATTTAAGTCATCAGTTATTTCATTGATTGATTAATAATTGATTGATTAATCCATTAATTCATTCATTTACTTTCGTATCATTTGTAATAGGCTGGACCAATGGTACCAGGAGTTGCACCACGTGAAGCATCTGACCGCCTGGTCATCTGTCAGAATACATTTGACATCCTCTATAAGAAATTTCTCACCTACACCGGAGGTGAAGAACTTTTCGGTCTTCCGGTCACAGATTATCCGGAACTGCTCAAGATCAAGAAGGAGCTTAATTTGTTACAGAAGTTGTATGGGCTGTACAATGCTGTCATAGATACGGTGCATGGTTACTATGACATTCTCTGGGCTGATATTAACATTGAAAAAATCAACAATGAACTCATTGAGTTCCAGAATAAGTAAGTTAAGTGTTTTTTAATGGTAGATGTTTGAGGGGAGAAAGAAATGTTTTTGATTGACAGAATTTGTCAAATCTACAAAATGTGACATAAATTATGTGCATATTCTTTTTCTGAACTCTTCTAGATTGATTACTATGGAAATTTCTTAAGATTAATTACCTTTTTGAAAAAAAAAGATATTGGCAGTTATTTGAAGGGATAGGTTTTCTGCTTTAGGCAGCATATCTTGAAAAACTAAAATATTTCAGTATTTGAAATTTGTTGCAAGATTTCTGGGAAATATTTCAATTATTAAATTTGTAAGCATTTGTCTGTTTTCTTTAAATCAATTTTGTAACTACTTGAAATGGCAGGTTTTCCATAATAAGGATACTAGAATACAATTATAAGCTACATATTTCTCAATAGATGCCGTAAACTTCCACGAGCTCTGAAAGATTGGCCAGCCTTTGAAGATCTGAAGAAAACAATTGACGACTTTAATGAGATGGTTCCCCTTCTTGAACTGATGACCAACAAAGCCATGAAGCCTAGACATTGGAACCGGATGGCAGAGGTCACAGGTCATGTGTTTGACATAGAAAGTGATAACTTTACTCTGAGGAATATTTTACAAGCTCCATTGCTAGAGTTTAAAGAGGATATTGAGGTATATATAGTTTCTATGAGTTTTATGATAGTTATCTCCCTTGACTGAAGTTGCAGTTATTTTCAAATAATGAAATGAAAGTAAACGAGATAAACAGAGCTTGTAATGTCACTTGTCAAATTTCTTTCATATCTTAAATAGTATAAACTATAGTAACAATATTTAAAAACTTAAAGGTTTTTATCAGCTTACATTGATATGATGGGAATTCCCCCATTCTAGATTTTACAAGCATTTTATTTTATGGTAGGTATGACCCTCAAAAACTCACATCAGGGGAGACAATTCATACTGTTTGAAAATGTCTTGCTGTGGATAAGTTCTGGGTTTTACTGAAATTTATATAAGAGAAATGATGACTTTGTCTTAAAAAAGTTTTACCAAGTTTGAAATTATTGATAATTAATGAATTTATTACATTAGTTGTTCAACCATAGAAAAAATACAATTTAGCCTAATTATAAAGAATTAATGCTGTTACAGATATGTTTTAATTAGTATTTATTATACACTGATAGCATATAAATGAGATGACCGATGACCTTGAAATGAGGGTAAAAATGTTACAAAAAACTTCTTTTCTTCTTTTTTCTCCAATAAGTTTCAAGTCAATGTGCATGAAGCAATTGTGTCAAGTAGTAGATCATTGCATAAACATTATTGAAAAAAATTGATAAATTCCAAAAACACTAAGAATGCATAAAGAAGATTGTTGATAGTTACCTATGGTACTTGATCTGTTTACATGAATATAAGTCTGACATGACTAAGGCATTTTCATATTTTCTTAGTGTTTTTGGCTGCATTAAAAAAAAATTCATTTAGTAGGGCATGCTATAGAATAGATATTCACTTTGTTAGGAATTTTGATTCATAAACTTGTTTTCATTTTAGGATTTAAGCTTGATTGCAAAAGAAGTTCTTGCAACTTGAATTTATCACTTTAAAGTCCGCTTCCTGGAACCAACTAGTACGGTGTCATATGAAGAAACATGGTCATGACCCAAGTAGGGCTTGAATCCATGATCTTTCGGTTGAGAGGCAGACACCTTAACCACTAGGCCACCGCTCCCCTTTGATAAATTTATTTTTTGATTGCAAAATTTGTTGATAAGTTAATTTACAGTATATTGAAATAGATTAAGACATATTTAATTTAATCTTGTTACTCTAATACAGGGGACGTATTTTGAGGCTTATAGGTTTATACTTCAACGTTATAACATACATATATCAATTGTAAAATCACCTAAATTACAAAGAAAAATAGCGGTAAAACTTCACCTTATATAGAATATAAAGTCAATTCTAATACATGTATCACTGCAACAGATGTGAAAAACAAATTATACATACATTTATCTATAAAATCACACAGTAAGTATAGAACAAATATGATCCTTAATTATATAAAAAAAAAAACAACTCAAAAAACAACATTGGTAAAAGGTGCACTATTTGTTACATTAATAAAGCAGGTATGTCACTAATAATGTCAGGAATGATTATGTGGTAAAACAAATGTTTCTAATATTTCACTATATAAAATGAATGCTCACTATAAATGTTCACTTTCATTAAGAATATTTCACTTTTATTATTTGCATATAAATGTATATATCAAATGTGCTAATAAGACATTTTTATTTCATTGATATGATAATATGATTTTACAGTCAAACCTGTATTGACGTAATGTCTGACAATACTAGCCATAATGCTTTAGTTCTACATGTTCTAGATCCTGACATGGATGAAATTTCTCACTTTTCTTTGCAGCCTAATGACAACTTTTCATGAAAATTACCGTAACTTAACCTGTTTGGGCTTTTTTTTTATCAGATTTTTTTTCCTTTTCCACAGATTTGACTGTAAGATCATCTGATATATTAATAATCTTACATGAGTTGTCATATTAATTAGACTCATACTTAACAAGTCTAAGAAGGAAAGTTTGTTGCTTTCAGGTGAAATTCTAATGAAAGTCTTTATGAAATGGCTACTCATGTAAGATTACTTTTATTACATGAAATTATAAAGCAAGATTACTGCCAAAAAAGACAGTATTAAGGTTAAATGGACCATTTTTTATGTGTAACTTAAAGAAATAAATATAATATTATCAATTATAACAGTGAATAACAAGTGGCATTTGGTGATAACAAAATACTGTATGTTAAGCAAAATAATGGCCTATCATCTCCATAAAAATATCCATAAAAATAATATTAAGTTCTAAGGATAGTTAAATATAATGTGTACTGCAGCTTTATTCGACTGCAAAGACTTTACATCCTTGAGAGAAAAATATTTATATTACTATGAAGATTTACTGTAATTGTACAAATAAGGACACCAAGGATCACTTCTGTAATTTCTGTAAAGATAGAAACACTACAAATGATTATCAAAGCAGAACATGTTTATGCACTGCGTAGTTCAACAAATTTCATTAACTAATGACATGTAATGCTTATTATGTTATTTTGAGACAAATGTTATAATATGCTATATAAATATTGTACAGGACATCTGTATCTCTGCTGTCAAAGAGAAGGATATTGAAGCCAAACTTAAGCAGGTCATTGCCGACTGGAACAATCAAGAATTTACATTTGCAAACTTCAAGAACCGTGGAGAGCTTCTGTTACGTGGTGATACAACCAGTGAAATTGTCTCGTTGATGGAAGATTCTCTCATGGTGCTCAGTTCACTCATGAGTAACAGGTGGGTACCTTAGTTAAATAACACATCCGGCAGAGTGGTTAAGGTTGTAGACATAGCAACTTGCCCTTCACCACTGTGGGTTCAAATCCTGATAGGGTCTTTGGATTCTTTCATGGAGTTCAGACTCCATTATTATCAATTTTGAGAACATGAATATTTGAAGCTGATCAGCCAACAGTATAGAGTCTAGTTGGACTGTATGGATTTGCAGTTTGTTCTAGCTCCATTCTAGTGGCAGCTAACCACTGTCTGTTTCAGTTGTGTAAAGGAGTTATGTTTTCTTTGTATCCATTTATTCACATTTATATTAACTGGATATTAATGATTTCCACAGATACAATGTACCATTCAAGAAGCAGATTCAAACCTGGGTACAGAACTTGACCAACTCCTCCGAAATCATTGAGAACTGGATGGTTGTACAGAATCTCTGGGTGTACCTTGAAGCCGTCTTTGTTGGTGGTGACATTGCCAAACAGTTGCCTAAAGTAAGTTAGCCAAAGAAGTTGTCTATAATAAGTTAGTCAACCAGTTGTGTAGAGTAAGTTACCCAGATTGTTGCTTTAAATAAGTTAGCAAAACAAGTGTGTAAAGAAAGCAAAATAGTTGCCTGAAGTAAGTGAATGGCCATTTAAGTTTCTTAACATTAGAAATAGCTTAACAGATGCCCATAGTGACATTTATATGATACTTTTAGTAAAGTGACAACCAAACTACTGCTCAAACTAGATCGTCTTTAAATGATTACCCAAAATAAACCATAACCAAAGGTCTCTCCAAATTAATAACAACCAAAATTAATAGCTACAGTTGCTCTATTTATGCATTTCCCAATTACTTCCCTTAGTTGAGGAAAAATGCCTGATATATTAATCAATAAGATATCTGTTTGAATTTTGTTTGTTTTCAAAGTTACATGATATATTTTCTGATCTATAGGAAGCAAAGAGGTTCAGCAACATTGACAAATCATGGATAAAGATAATGACACGTGCGCACGAGACACCAAACGTCGTCCAGTGTTGTGTAGGTGATGAGACATTGATGCAGTTGTTGCCTCATTTACTCGAGCAGTTGGAACTTTGCCAGAAATCTCTCACAGGGTAAGTTTCTTCTCATTAGGTATGGTATGGCCTGAAATATCTTACAGTAAAAGCTTTAATAACTGTTAAAAATCTTATATAATGTACTAGTATAAGACTTTTACAGTTCTTGGTATGAAATTCAAACATCCAAGTTCAGACCTTTTGAATTTCCTATTTCATTTAAATTTTTAAGAATTGTATTATACGTTATTCTTTGATGTAAAAAAAAATCCTACAATTACCATTTCATCTCCATCTTAAAACATAGCTTTAAATTGGTTCTACTTGGGGCCCTGCTCATACCTGAATTAATTTACAGAGTGGCACCTGATGACTCTTACTCCACCAGTAATGTTAGAAAGTTACTATATGACCTATATTGTTTAAAAAAATGTTTATTTTACTATGTATAACTATTTTTAAACAGATACCTGGAGAAGAAGAGATTGTTGTTCCCAAGATTCTTCTTTGTGTCAGATCCCGCTTTACTGGAGATCCTTGGTCAGGCGAGCGACCCCCACACCATTCAAGCTCATCTCTTGTCTGTGTTTGACAACATAAAGACTGTGAAATTCCACGAGAAATTCTATGATGTTATCCTGTCAGTACATTCAACTGAAGGTGAAACTGTGGAGGTAATTAAAACTCGGCTTCATTTGTAAATTACATTTTGAGGGTTTGGTGCAAAACAGCTGTAACTCACAATACATTATGAAGGAGTTGCATCTCTTTTGCACTGATTCATTGGTTTGTATTTGAATTACGTAGTTAGCAAAATAGCCATTTTGAAGGAGTTGCATCTCTTTTGCACTGATTCTGATTCATCTATTTGTATTTGAATAATGTAGTCAGCATTGAGTTGAATAACATCCAGGTTGAATTAGTATTCAGAATTAAATAATATAAATTTATAAGTTAGAATATTGTGGCGTTCTCAGTTAGATTGATGCAAATTTATTGACAATGCAGACACCATGCCATTC